GCTGCAGCGGTCCGGGATGTACTGACTCATCTGGCTTCCTGTTGGATTCAAGGGACTGTTCACTCATATATCAAACAATCCGGAATACAACAATTGAAAAAATAAAATCATGGCATAATTTATCTTTTCTGCGCAAAGAGCAAGAATAAGGCGGAAATATTTGGCAACGTTAAAACATATTTTTGCCACTCTAAGAACAAAAACTAAATTTTTTGTGCAATAAAAATTGGCACAGTTATTATACAGAGAAGGTGTTACGCGAGCTACGCTGCGTTCATAAAGTCTATGTGATACCCCTGTGATTCTCTGAGTTCCCCCTGAGGATCTGTACAGAACGTATTGTAAAGAACTAGTTTTAGAAGCTGTTTACAGTCCGACTACGCATGCGCAAGTTCTCTGCGTGGAAGCGAGCAGTTTCTACTTCAGTATATAGTTGTATTTCATGTAAAGTTCGTCGATTATTAAAACCGTGTGAAATTCTAGGACCACTGCGGTAATTATGATTATATTTATATGAATATTGTTTATTTATGTTCGGTTATGGTTGATATTGTATGATGTAATGTATGGGTTCCTTGCCACAGTTTTTTAATGCCTGAGTGGATTTATTGCTGTATTTGTATGATTTATCACTCAATGCTTTTTCTGTTGGCTTATAAAAGATTATTTAGATTGAAGGCTTAGAGAAATAAACATTCGGAACCTTATTATCATCCTTTTGTTATGGAGAGCGTTGAGAGAAGGAAGCCTTACAATCCTATCCAGAGAAATACCACTCGGTACTTATAAGTTTCATTAGGTCTTTAGGGAATTCGCTAAGTAGCGAAACAGAAGGACTGTTGAAGAAATGGCAGAAAACACAACTGCTGCTGTTTTCAACTGCTCTTCTCAACCTTTTACAATAAGGTGGAAGCTAGGGGACTCTCCAGGTTAGATTTACCAATTCAAATTCAAATCCTGCAAAATTCAAAGTATGAAAAGTGTTAAATGGCGTTGAAGCTATAGGCTTGATCAGGGTTCTGCTAATGGTAAAAGCCATCAACCCTGAACTTAATACAAAGAATTCATCAGTTGTAAATACCGTCTAATGAAAGGTATTTGTTCTTGAATTAAGGAAATACATATACTTTATGGTAAAGTTGGGTTAGGGGATTTCTCCGCTACGGAAAGTTGGCCAGAGCCCGAAATATAAGACAGAGTATCGCCATGAAACCTGAGCCGGCGATTCAAAAATTTCAAGAAAATACGACTCGGGTCTAAGCTGTTGTTGAGCCTTATTTACGGCTCGGGCTTTTGGATTTAAGTTGCTCTAATTTTCAACTGAGTTTAGTTCATAAAACCGGTTTAATTTTGTATTTGGCGGATTTTCAAATTGGCGCATTCCGGGTTTTGATGAGAAGAAGACCCAACATTGAGCCTTATTGTCCACTAAAACCAACCAAGGTCGGTTTAATTTTCATTGGGCTTAACTCCTTAAGTCGAGCCTAAGATCTTGCAGCTGTCAATCACGTGACACAAGCTGTCGTCAGAGTTGGGTCGAAGATTGGGTCTTAAAGTCAGGTTTAAGTAATTACGGCTCGAGCCGAAATTTTTAAATCGCGGGCTCAGATGTATAGACCAAAAAATGAAACTCGTTAGTTTAATTTAACGATACTCTCTTAAATTTCCGGCTCAGGCAAAGTTTAACAGGTAACAAGACAAGTTTTGATGTAATTTTCTTTTTTGGGTGTCATGCAGAACATTCAAAATTAGACCCTGGACTTACATTTTCTCTTTAATTTTCGTAAAGTTGTCAAAGGAAAATAAGAAAAACATTTAAAGTCTTTTTATCAATAAAACTGTAATAGATACAATGATTTAACAATATCAGTTGTAAAACTACATATTTAGAAATTTAGACAATACTTAATATACAAAAACAACAGACCACATTTTGGAATTCCCAAAAGAAGGAGCATTTGATGTTACTCATCTATTAGGAGACAAAGTTATATTTACTATTTTACCTGAGATGAAAGTGGAATTTTAGAAAATTGTGTAAGTGAAAGTTTTTTCAAAAACAGGGAATGCAAAAGCGTAGTGGAGCTTGCTTTTTTCACCAACATTTAATAAAGCTTAACATTGTATAAGGTATTCAAGTGCAGAAAATTCATTACATAATGTTAATCTATGCCATACATTTTCATACTGTGCACTGTAACATTTCAAACGCGTTTATTACTTGTAATAACCCCTATTGTAACAAAATCTGAAATTAGACAAATCAAAATGTTGACATCTCAAGTTGATATACCTATTTAACAAATAATATGTATAAATTAAATGTTACTCCAGAAGCTTTACCTTACTCTAAACCATCAAGATCTGCCACCCTCCCTCAATCAATTGATTGTATTTAATCACAATCAAAACAAGAACTCTGTTTAAAAGTTGTTCTTATAGGTCATTGATTATATTAAAAACTAAATTATTGAACTTAATAAGATAATGAATTAAAATTTCAACCCCAGGTCTCTTTACATCTATTATCTTGCTTCTACTGGTGATCAACATGGTTGCTTTTGTCCTTTACAAGTTTAAGGAGAGTATTTCAGCTGAAAACATCAACATCAACATCCTTCTCAACCAGGATATTGTGCAACTACTCAGCGCCCTGGCAATTCAGGCGGTAAGATGCAAGCTTAAACCTCAAAACATAAATGTTGGTAAATCATTCATATAATAGTTTTAGAATTTATGTTTAGAGCTTGCCAGTAGCTTGGCGAAGTGTCTTGTTCCCAATACCTCTGATAGTCGCGAAGGTCTCTAGATATGTTGGCTGCATGATATGGTTTGTAGTCATGAACCTGTTTCTCTGTATCTCTACTTTCAGACTATTCATCATATTTAGGGTATAAAATATAAGAATTTTAAATTCACTTTATCCATAATAATTATTTATATTATTATAGAATGATTGGATCATGGCCTTTGACCAGGAAAAAATGAGTAAACGTTGCTTGGTCTATGCTGTTGTTCTTGCCCTTCTTATCTACCCTGGATTTCTCTGTCTTGATTTGTCAGGAGGTTAGTGGATAAAATAAACGCTTGGTTTTATCTGTCAGGTTCTGAACGGTTTTTTGTGGTTGGGTATCTGAATATGGTAAATTAATGTACCAATTTTAATCGTTTCCTTTCTTTAAAATCGTCCGAACACTATGAAAAGGTCCAATATTTCAATAACAAACTGCATCGATTTACCTTACATTAAGATTTGAGCAGGATCCTGGTAGTTAATAATGGTACACCCTCAATTTTCCTAATCCTTAAATCTTTCAAAACCTTGAATCTTTCAAGACCTGCTGGTGTTAACATTTTCGGTAACATGGAAACGCCTCAACACGGAAACGGATCAAAAATTATTTTTGAGGAATTTCCGTTTTTTTTAGAAATTCGATGAAATCCCACAAAAGTTCAGAATTGTTGAGGGATTTCCGAATATTTTGTATCCGTTTCCCAATATTTAGAGTTGAATGGTTTCCTCTTTTTTTGATCAATTTCCTCATATATTAGGTCCGTTTCGGCTTTTTTCAAAAACTTAAAAAATCTCAATTTGTTGATCAGTTTCCTCAAATTTTAGGTCCGTTTCCATCTATTTTTGATCCGTTTCGGCTTTTTTCAAAAACATTAAAAAACCCAATTTCTTTAACAGTTTCTTCAAATTTTAGGTCTGTTTCCTCATATTTTTGATCCGTTTCCGCTATTTTCAAAAACTTTAAAAATCTGAATTTGTTGATTGGTTTCCTCAAATTTTAGGTCCGTTTCCTCATATTTTTTATCTGTTTCCGCTTTTTTCAAAAACTTTAAAAATCTCAATTTATTGATCGGTTTCCTCAAATTTTTGATCCATTTACTCATATTTTTGATCTGTTTCCGCTTATTACAAAAATTTAAAAATCTCAATTTGTTGAACAGTTTCCCCAAATTTTAGGTCCGTTTCCTCATATTTTTGATCCATTTCCGCTTTTTTCAAAAACTTTGAAAATCTCATTTTGTTGATCGGTTTCCTCAAATTTTAGATCCGTTTCCTCATATTTTTGATCCGTTTCCGCTTTTTTCAAAAAATTTAAAAATCTCAATTTATTGATCGGTTTCCTTAAATTTTTGGTCCATTTACTCATATTTTTGATCCGTTTCCGCTTATTACAAAACTTAAAAAATCTCAATTTGTTGAACAGTTTCCCCAAATTTTAGGTCCGTTTCCTCATATTTTTGATCCATTTCCGCTTTTTTCAAAAACTTTAAAAATCTCAGTTTGTTGATCAGTTTCCTCAAATTTTAGGTCCTTTTCCTCATATTTTTGACCCATTTACGCTTGTTTCAAAAACTTTAAAAATTTCAATTTATTGATTGGTTTCCTTGAATTTTTGGTCCATTTCCTCATATTGTTAATCCATTTCCGCTTATTACAAAAACTTTAAAAATCTTTTATTGCTGATCAGTTTCTACTTTTTTCATGAACTTAAAAATCTATTAATACTATTTAGCAATTTCTTTTCATTTCGCTTAGTTTTGATCCATTCTTGGGTTTAAATTGAACTTTAAAAAAAACTTGTGAAAAGAGAGAGGGGGTGTAAAGCCAGAATGATTTCCTTCAACAATGCACAATGTTTTCAGGATTGAACGATATTTTTCATTAATTTCATTAACCTTTTTAATGAAGTCCATTGCTTTTTTAATTCCCGTCATAAAATGATAGTTGTATTCTAAAATATAATTTTTTACTAGGAGATTAGAAAAAAATTTGTTTAATTAATTTACTCATGTCGTTCATTTTAAAGTTGTATGACAAAGTATGTTTTTTTAAACACTTGAGAACAAACCATTGTTATTTTAAGAATTTGGTATATTATTGAGCACAGAGCAAAACCCTTCAACAATTAAAAAATGCTGGTTTTTTACTTCAAATACTGAAAATGCTCTCGGTACTCCACTGCTGATACCAAAAAAAGATGATTTCAAAGTTTTTGAACAAGAGGAAATGGATCAAAAATATGAGTAAACGGACCTAAAATTTGAGGAAACCGATCAACAATTAAATTGAGATTTTTAAAGTTTTTGAAAAAAGCGGAAACGGACTAAAAATATATGGAAACGGACCTAAAATTTGAGGAAACTGATTTTTAAAGTTTTTAAAAAAAGTGGAAACAAATCAAAAATATGAGGAAACGGACCTAATATTTGAGGAAACCGATCAATCAACAAAATGAGATTTTTAAAGTTTTTGAAAAAGCGGAAACAAATCAAAAATATGAGGAAACAGACCTAATATTTGAGGAAACCGATATCAAAAAAATGAGATTTTTAAAGTTTTTGAAAAAAGCGGAAGCAGATCAAAAGTATGAGGAAACGGACCTAAAATTTGAGGAAACTGATCAAAAATATGAGGAAACATATCAATTTAAAAGCTTTTGAAAAAAGAAGAAACGGATCAAAAAAATGAGGAAACTTACCAAAAATATTGGGAATTCACTCAGAAATATTGGGAAATCCCTTGAAAATATTTGAATAAAATAAAACGGAAATGGATATACGATTCTGGTAAATCGATCAAAAAAAACTCCTCAAAATTTGAATTAAGAGGGATATCTGACAAATTTGAAGAAATAGCAGAAACGCCCCAAAAAAACATACCTTTTTGAGGGGTTTCCGCTTATTTTTGATCAGTTTCCGTGTTGAGGCGTTTCCATGTCACCAACATTTTCAAGTTAAATTTTTTTGATCCAACAGAATTCATAGTTTAACAAATATTAGTTCTTGGACATTGAATTGAAAAAAAAGGAATTAGAAAATCAAAGTTGGCTCTGATTATATTTTTTAAATATTGCAGTTTAATAAACTTTCAATATTACTCAAACCAAAAAAACATAGTGACATATAGATTTTGAGAAACTGAATAAACAAAATGACCATAGTTAATTTTGCTAACATTTTATAAAAAATGATAATTTTATTTTAGGAACTGTGCACATTACTGAGGTATATTCAAGTGGTTGCACTGTAACAGCAGAATCAGATGTATTGTTTTATGTCAATTTGGGACTGGCAATTAGTTATCTGGCAATTTTCATCATCACCAACCTGTCTATTCTTTGGTTTATGAGGGACGAAGTAAACATTTTTGAAGGTTTTAGAATTAAGACAATGACAATTGGCTTGATTTTTTTAGCAGTAACTCTGTTTGGATGCATGCTATTAGTATTTAAACCTAGAGAACCTATCATGATCATTGACCTGAATGTGTCCATACTTCTTCTGCTCTGCATGTTTGCAATAAAAGAGGGATCATTCACAGGACCATTTATCCTTGAGAAGCTACATTGTCTTCTACATTTACAGAATTCCAGCAGTACACATGAATCTCTGGAAACTGCACAGAATAGACTTGATGAGGATGATGGCGGAATATTTATGGGAAACCCTTCAATAGTAACAAGTCAATCTGGACTCTCAACAGGAATTGCCGGAGTCCAAACAGGCACATCTACAGGAAACAAACATGAACCACTCTCTGCCTCCTTTTTACTTCAGATGTCTGATACACACCCTGACAACCTGCCTCCAGTAGAGATAAGTTCATCCTCCAACCTCAGACAAGGGGTAGTACCTCAACAAAGAATCACCAAACTTCCTAAATTAATCTACATCAGAGAAGCATCACATGATTAAGTTGTTTATAATATTTATGTTTTACAGGGTGTCCCATTAAATTTGGGAATTCAGTGAAAATTTTATATCCTCTTTGATCCATGAGGCATTTTTTCATGAACACAATTATTGCCTTTTCCAGTTTAAACATCTAAGATCTAAAACACCTGGTCTTGAGATTTTCAAAATGTGGTTAACCATTTTGTATCTTCAAAAGTGACGAAAAAATTGCAAAGTTTAAACAAATTTCAATTTATATAATAAATCAAAATATCTAAGATTAGAAAACAAAGATGACTTTCAAGTCATCTCTCAATTGTTATGTTTATTGGGACACCCTGTATCCATGGAACCCTGCAGAAAACTGACTTCATTTTGAAAAATTTTGAAAAATTATTTATCTGTTTGTGCTTAATTTTGAATCTATACATACCATACTATGTATATATATGTTAACATATTCAGTATCTCTAACAGTTTATTCATTCTTTTTTCAGAACAAATTCAAATTAGATTTTTGAATTTAATACACACTTTTACTTTTGTACATTTTTACGCCTATTCTAATACTACCAATCTTTATAAAGTTTCTAAAATGTTGAGAAATGATTACCAAATTTTGAGAAATGATTACCAAATTATGAGAATTGTATCATAAATCTCATAATTGCAAAGTTTTGGATATTTCCATGGAAATGTAAAACTTTAATTCTATCAGTTTTGATAGATTTTTAAAAAATTTAAAGAAATTATTCTGTTCCAAATTGTGCAGATCTTGAGCCATACATTTTGCATTTTTCAATTCAAACTGAGGTGCAAAAGCAAATGGTGCCAATTGGCGGACAAAAGTTTGCAAAATGCATGATAAAAAAGTTTTTTAAGATAATTATCTCAATTGCAATTACTCTAATATATGCTAAAAATTCAAGTCAACAACTCATATTATCAAATATTCAGGGAGACGGTTTTACAATTTATTATTATTATTTGTACAAACACGAATAAAAGTAGGAAAATACTATACGAATCAATATTGCATTAATAGATAATCCAGGATGAGGAGGATCTCCAGGGCATCCTATTATCCAGGGAGTTGATGCTCAACTGCCTATTTTCCCCAAGTTTCACCCCACCCTAGCCTAGATTAAACCCTAGCTCCCTGGGCTCTGGCCGGCCATCTCCACCAACGCCCGGGCCTCTGGACTAACGGAACATTCAGCATGGCTTGGGTTTTCGGCGTGGCTTGGGTTATTTATAGAATTCACATATAAACACAAATAAATCCGTTAGGATTCAAAAGTCTATCCAAGTGGTGAAGGGGGGGGGGGGCATGATACCCCTAGATAGCTATGATCTCAGCGATCTAAAAATCCCTTGAATCACTGATCGTAAAAGATCAACAAAATCACACATTGTTACATTACAACTACTGCATGTATAATTTAGATAGATATAAATAAAGACAACATGTTAAATAAATGCTAATTTATTAATGAATTTTTTAATTTTTCACTCATTGAATTACCATTTGAGTTAAATAAGCAAAGAAAGTTGAGAAAACGAAAAACAGCTTGAATGAAATGTTATTTTCAAGATTTTTAACTTAATTCTAAATTAGTTAAAGCTTTATAATTGAAATTTCTTTGGTCAACAACATCAAAGAAAACATGCTATCAACCCAAAATGAACATAAATAAGGTTAAGGTGAAGTCAAAAATGAAGTTTTACACCATAATAAACATGAAAAAACTAAGATAAAATGTCGTCTTTAAACAGTGGTGGTTTAAATCTTACTGGACACTTTTATCATAAATTAAAAGTTCACATTACTATCAATCGATTAGGTTCAAAATATTTTATTTTTCCTCTAATTTGATTTATCATTCAAAATGTCTTATTGTAACATTCTTTTATATTTTCAAAATTAAATAATGCATAAAAATGAACTAAAAAGTTTAAAAGGGTTCTTGGGTTAAAAGTTATATGTTGTATGCTCAAATGAATAACTTATTTTATATTTTTATTTTAAAATTTCATTCACTGTTTTTGGCTGCTTGTAAAATCTCTCTGTTAACAATTGAAGATCTCCTGTAAAAGAGAAGTGTATTAATTACAACGAAGATTTAACATCTGCAGTTAAAGGAAGAGAAAAATTAACATATTATTATAAATATAAAGCATGACATTCGTTTATATGTTTCCTATGCGGCTGGACGGAATTGGCTGACATTTTATGAGGGACCCCATGGGTACCCTTGGGGTTACATAGGCTAAAAAAATTTTAGAATTTGTATGTTACATAACTCAAAATTTTTTTTTAATTCCACGGGCAATGACGGACCCTTCAGCTAGTTATACCTAAAATTTCTTATGTTCGATGGGAAGGAATTGAGTTTTTGTCACAAACTCTGTTTTTCTTATCCCTATATCTTTGCATTTGAATGTCGGAAACCTTAGATATTTCAAAGTATGAATCAATTTAGATCAAATAATGATAGTTTGAAATATCAAAGAATTACACCATCAGGTTAAAAAGATATGGCAATTGTAAAATCCTAATTTGGGGCAAAAACTCAGTTCCTTTCGTACAGAATGGGAAACTCAAGCAACAATTACAAAACCTATTTAGTGCATTATTTTTGTGCAATCTTTTTGGTGGAACTTGGTCCTTGGCTTCAATCGAAGGTGAGAAATTTCGATGTTTAGCAATGAAATAATCTATATTCTCTACTTTACTTGTCTGTATAGCCATTTGATCCTTAATACACTTAAAACAGCAGAACTGATCAGGCCCAGATTTAGTGTTGGACCTCCTGGACAAATTAAAGTGGTCAACTTTCAGAGGAACACTTTAAAGCTAAAATTATACACAGAAAGGGGTCGGGAAGCGCCCTAAAAGCCTAATATTATAAATAATAACTTTTCTTTTTATGTTACAATGCTTCATGAATGTGTAGCATACGTTTATAATCAATAATAATAATATTATTTAAAGAGACAAATTATCTTGTTAGTTTTATGAAAGCTTATATTTTTCTAAAGATCAAGGTAATTGGTATCATTTGTGGTTATCTAAGAAAAAGTAAGAGCAAAGAGCGAAGGTTTAAGCATAACAGACACATTCAGTTCTCTTATTTAACTACAGCAACAGTATTATTCACGGAGTAAGCATATATCTATGCATGTGTAAATAATTTGTGTAATGAAGTTTTTGCGCACCAACTCCTGTATTTTCTAAAGTTGAAACCAAAAACCATTGATTATATAAAAGTGCAAGTTTTATCAATGAACTTACCAACAGTTATGCTAAAGGCAGTTTATGAATATTTGGTATACCTACTGTCAGGGTCCTTTTAAAATTGAGATTTTTATGTAATGGCAACTTACGTCAAAAAATTATTGATGGGGATTGCTTCTAATTTTACTTCTATCTGTTGCGTCTACAAGGAGAAAATTTAAAAAAATCCTCCAACTTAAGAACATTGAGTCCATACAAATTCAGAAAGTTGCAACCTACAACTCAGATATTCCAACTTATTATCATCGATAATTTTGTATAAATCTAATATTTCAAAATGTTTTTTACTTGTTTCATATACATTATACATTAAAGGGCGTTAATTTTGCCACTAGTTGTCTCTGCTTTCAATGCTTCTGGAGTTCCATGTGGGATAGACTCCAACAACACCAAGGAACAAAAAAGTCTTCGTTTAAAGTACATCATAAATGAATCAAGTAAAAAGTATTATGAAATATCAACTATATTCGAATGCGTCGAAAAATGATCAATGCTTATATGTTTGAGTATGTATAAGTCGAATGTTGCAATTTTCTAAATTTGTCTGGATGCTACGCTCTTAGATACAAACAATTACATAATAAGCCTGTTTGATCTGTTAGTTTTTCTGTCCCATAACATATGTATTGGATTTCAGAGATTTTTAGAACTGTTAAGATTAGTGCTTTGGTTCAAGTGATAAGTGGTTCACTTTACATTCAGAACCAGTTAAGTCTAGGCTGATCTGGTTGCATACTTTTAAACTGGTTTGTCAGTGTATGCACAGTATCTTGCAAACTTTTATAATAATTTATTCTCTTAAGTTTACTTTTTTAGCTTTTACATTATTTACTGCTTTGTTGTTCATTTTCAAGTAGATTTCATACAATTTTCAGACATGACTGAAAACACAACTGCTGCTGTTTTCGTCTGTTCTGCTGAACCTTTTACAATAAGGTGGAACCTAGGCGACTCTCCAGGTTAGATTTACCAATTCAAATACAACTCATTGCAAAACAATCTTTACTTTTGATCATATTACCAACATGAAAAAATAATATTCAAGTTTAATTATATGAAATTAGGTCCAAATCAATCAACAATTACTTCACAACAATATGCTGTTTGCACTTAAAGAACTATTAATTTGACTTTAATGACAACAAATTTAGCGCAACATGTGATGAAAATTGAAATGAGTAAAATTTCTAGGCTTTTAGGGCGCTTTGCGCCCATCTTCTATTTAAATTGTGAACATGTTCTTTTTGTTTACATTTAAAAACAAAGAAGAAAATAATTTTGCAGATTTTTACAAAAAATTCGCGGATTTTCAAGAATTTAAATTTTTTTACAAAATTAAAAACCTTTAAAACACATTTTTTAAAAATTTTTATCATTCATAAACCTTCCCTGTGGTCACGTGATGTCCCACGAAAAAATTTGGGCCCGATCGGTTCAGCCGTTTTGACGTTTATTGGATACAAACAGACAGACAGACAAACAGACAAGCCAAATCTATATATAGATGATCAGAGAGGTTGGCTGATATTGAGGGTTTGTAGTAAGATAATAGGGTCTGGAGTAAGATTTAATGGTTAAAATATAAAAAAATTATGCGTTATCGATATTGTGACAAAAATTTTATAATAAATGGCCCTGCTGCCTTTTAGATCTTATTATTTCCTCTAAAAGGAAAAAAACATGATGACAACTTTTTACCCAATTTTAGATTTTATGATTTTTTAAATGGAGTGGCTGCAAAGCACACTGAATTAGGGTTTAAATAAAGTATGACAAATGACAAGCTCTAAATTATGAATATTTTTCAAATCGATTAGTGCTTTTTGAACATCACAATCCCTTTTGCAACAAAATCTATG